GACGTTACGATTGAAAATAACAAAACGTAAATTTTGCAACAAAAGCGTGCCAGAGAGTTAGAGGGTATTCAAACTGAGACGAAAATATGAAGTTCTCAGCAACAAATGATTCAGTTGGCGCAACTTAACACCTCCGAGCATCAAGCCCTAAAATGTGAAAACTGCAAGGAAAAGCTAAGGCGCTTCTCTTGATTCTAGCTATTGTATTTGTATTTGGAGGTGTTGGAGTACCGATTGAACCACGGATGCAACGCAAGATGCTGCTTTTGATTTCATGAATACAATAATTTGTCATTACAGATTCTTGAGAGGCCTGAAACTCGATGGGCTTAAGTCCAGCGAAGAGAGTCTAGTATTCATCGGCGGTTTCTGCTTTCTGAACACACAAGATCACATTGCCTTGGGTTTTGACGACTCTCGAATGATGAGGATCGATAGCTAACCAACACAATAAACAGAAAGATTTGAAGGTATACAGCTTTCGTGGCATTGAATGATTGTTATCTTTTGAGGCAAAGCATATTGGACTGAGCATGAAGAATAAGTTTGAACGACCGAATGCTTCCAACTATCCTTCGGAAAAGAACCACAGGCTAAATGAAACCGAATCTCAAAACATACAACTTTAATTGAAAGGAAACTGGATAACCGCTGCTCTGTTGAAGAGCAACGCAAGTTGTGCCGAACGACCATTGTGGAAACACAGTCTCACGAGCAAATCCTTGTTAGGGAATATCGTGAATCTTTAAGTTAACCACATGTCATAGCCGAATATCCACTTGTTGAAGGATGTCTGATCTACCTGCCAACACCAAATCACATACGATCGTAGAGCTTGGGAAATACGAACAACAGGAACACAAAGAAGGAAAATGTAAGGCGCCTTTTCAAGACGACACCACAGAAGGCCTTAAAAGAAAGAGAGTGTGTAAAGGAACGACGATGTCTCGCTGGTAGGGAAGGCAGACAGGGAGATAATAGTTAAAGAGCTTGAGCCACCGGTGATCATATAGAGTAACCCCAGTCAAAAGTAACCAGAACATCAGTCCTCCTCTCCATCAAAAGCGTCCGTTTCTGCTACTTCATCAGCGAGTTCGTGGTCGACCGACTGAGCGACTACCACAACTATCGATGTGTTTAAGGTGTGTCACAAGCTCTGGATTTCCCACGGTACATTTGCATTTGTACTCGGAGCACACAACTGGCTTTTTGCAGGTGCGGAGATGACGCTTGTGGTTGTCCCTCCGGGGTATCTCTTTGCCACAACAGCAAATGTACACGGGAGGTGGGCCGGAATTGAGACCACAGGCACCTGTGTTGAGGTGTCGCTGGAGCGACCGAGCCTCAGCGAAATCGCGTCCGCAATTGCAACGAATCCTTTCTGGAATTGCGGGTGGTCTAGTGTCATTAATGATCGGTATGACCAATCCAACTCGGCATAGTTAAACACTTACTGGAAATCCCCGGTGATGGTCCTCGTTGAATCTGTGACAGATCCTTGGATCCATTCAGATTGATGGCTGAACGGCTGGCCCGGGCTCGTGGGGAATTCGAAACCGTTGACCATGCCGAAGTTGTTGTTGTCCTCGGGGGTGGAACACGTCGTTGAGAGATCGGATAGCGGCCAAGATCGATCGGTGTCCTGGGACGTTGACGGACTTCTGCCATCATAATACTGAAGTTCAAGGATTTCGGCATCACCGACGACCACTGCATTGGAATAGGCTGCCGACAAGCCAGCGCCTACAAATGGGACCAGAGGCTGAGTTGGAGTTCCAATGTTGGGATGTGCGGCACCCTGGAAATGCCAATTATCATGTTGGGTCTGGTACAAATCGACGGAACCCGTATTGATGATATGGGCATCTGAGTAAGGGGACGACTGAAATGATGCCTGTACCTGAAGTTCAGGTCCCGAATACCCAGCGGAGGCTGCTCTGCCCATAAAGATCAACATGGAATGTGCCACGCCTCCATGTCCGATTCCCATGCAATGTGCATCGTCAGAAGTTGGGAACTCTGGAGCAAAATCCTGCTCCTCATGGTACGTATGAACATCTTCCAGTCCAGTTAAAGACAATTGAGTATGATTAATATAGTTTCGAGAAGTATTGAACTCCAAGCCATTGATATAGCCCTCGCTAAAGTCATGAGGCGGATCCTTGGTATCGCTGGGCTGGGATGCACGGGCCACCATGACTTCCGTAGTCGCAGGGGTCAACGGCAGGGAATTACGCTTCTTCCAGAGATTCGTCCCACTCAGGGCATGATTAGTCAGGGGTAGGATGCGGGGCGGCCCCAAAGGTTAGGTAAGCTCTAAGGTAGGTCTGGCAGTGTGGTTGACAGTTGCGCGGTGGAGTAATTAGATGCAGCACTGGATGCGAGAGAACACCCACCGACTCGCTGATGGCGACAGACGACTCCTCCAAGAACACAAAGCCTCCGACAAGAAGGAAGGAAGGAAGGAAAGAAAGAAAGAAGAGTCGGTCAGGACAGCATCGAGAGTTTATTCTTGCTGAGGTCCATTTTGGCGAATTCTTTTGAGGCCGGTTGTGCCCAATCGATCGAATCATGCTCTAAAGACAGTTGCGGTTCTTGGACACTTATTGCTCTGGTGAGGCCATGTGCATTCGCACAGCTGTGTGCTGTGATGCACCCTCCCAGGCCCCCAAAGCAGTGCGAGGAAGGAGATTCGAGCTTGCAGATGACTTGAGTACTATACTGTGCATCACTTGGGAGTGGGAGACTAGTCAAGCGGAAACGGAGCGTCTCATCAGGGAGATGCCAGTTCAATGCAGAGACTTCTTGGATTGAAGAGCCATGGCATGGCAAGCGTATATCGTACGGGTTGGAGACCCTGTTCGTACAAAGTTATGAAGGGCAATGCCTGCGAGAGTGCGGCTACCTGCATCGCGCCGACGAGTCCTCGCTGCACAACCCCTTATGACGTGCGTAGGTGAAGGAGCCGCATAGAACGCGGGCTATGACAGCAATGAACCGGCAGCGGTCGAGACAGCTCGCCAGACACCGACCGACATCTGTCAGGACTTTTGGATTCGACGACTGGATACCGTTCCGATTGCGGCCCAACTCGCGGTGTATGACAGGACAACACCCTCGAAGCAGCTCTCTACTGCCCACCTTCCGAGAAACGCCGCCCAGAGAGAGCTGGTACAAGAGATTGGCTGGATAAGCTTGTTATCAAGCACCTTGGCAGACCTTCCCGGGAAAAATTGGCCTCGATGCACAAGGCACCACCCACGGTGAAGAGTGGGGTGCTCTCTCCGCAAAGTTACGCCCCGTAACTATGGGCAAGACGTCCTGCCAGCAAAGCAGCACCACATTCATTTCAATAAAGATAGACAGTCCTCCAGGGCGTTGTACTTGCTAGTGCATGTAGTTGATTTGCTTCTATCCTCAGATCTCACCACCTCGATCTTACATAAATGCGCCCTTCATATGCCCATACCCAGTGATTAAGTCTCTGTCTGCTGCCATGTGATTTCAGTCACAATCGGTCATGAAGGGATACACGACACTCGAGAGCGTGATGTACTTGGGGTAGACCGACTCTGGCGCTACTGGCGGGATCAGTTGACTAAGGTGCGGGTGGTTCTGCGCAAATACGGTTATCTGCGATTCCCATTGGCGTTTTGCAGTCACCTCAAGTCCGCCATGCATCCCCAGACTACATCGACAAAACTATTTGCGGCCTCCGAAACGAGCTAATGCACTTCAGCCCAACTCGGCACAATCTCCCATCCGGAGGCGAAAACATAAAATCGGCGGGCCGGTCAGAGTCCTGACGAAACATTCTGGCTTTCGCTTCCAGCAAACACCCTATGCCTTACCGGGTCTTACACCGAAATGTGGTCGAAGTGCTACAGTGCATCGGACATTCAAAGGACCCGTTCCGAATGTCTAGCAATCCTGCATCCGGCAGTCTCCGGACTGCATTGATGGGCAAAAGACTTCTTATCCCACATGCGCGCGAAACGATGGAGGCTTAAACACAGCTGTCTTTTAAGAATTTCCCTCGACATGATCACATAACACCCTAGCTGGACTAAGCTGCCTGGTGTTGACGAGTGGTTTATTCCACAAAGGGCAGTATATAGCTATAATGTTTATATTATGTGCTTAAACACATACAAGATACCGTCTACGTCATCACTAATGTTTCGACTAAGCTACTGTAAGTGCGGCGGATCTGTAGGACTACCAGAGCTACCTCTTAGTCGCTCCACCATGGCCTTTGCATAGCTTCGCATCCGACAACCAGTACAATAAAGCTACAGTTTTCACCTCAAGAAAACCCGCCTCCAACTAAGTTAGCCGGTAACAGTAAGTGATACTCTATCAAATCCGTACGTCCATATGGAGACCCTACGAAACTTTCAGAGAGGAATAACCTTCTGATCTTAAAGTAAAAGGTCCAATCTCGATACTGTCTAAGAACGGAGAGCTTGGAGTTGGACTTACAACAGGAGGATGATACAGTGATTTCTCTGATAGGTGGCGACAAGAGTCAGATTAGGACTGGAGAAGGATATAAACCAATCTCATGTGTGCCATCTCATTCAACCCATCATACACCCCAACTTTGCCTATTCGAGGTAAGCTTAAGCGGCGACACTAACTCAGATGTTATGCCGTTGTATTATTGGTCGTACCAATGACATGTTAGTCTCTCCGTCGACATAACCAATGAAGAAGAGTCAAACAGGGACGATGAAGATTCATTTGCAGCGTCCCTCATCAGCAACTAGCAGCGGGGTGCAAGAGCATCGTCAGATAGACTTAGGAACAACTCTTTGGCAATCACGAGAAATTGCAAGTGTGCAGCGAACGATCGTGGATATGAGTTTCAAATCTAATGTTCTTGACAACATCACAAGCTATTGACTGTCCCCAGCCATCCTCCTTCCAACGTCAAGCTACCTCAGTAGAAAAAGATCTCCAAGCAATACTTTGCGGCCCTGAAAGGTCTCTGTTTTGGCTCAAACACGTACAGCATTCTTCTCCGAATTGTCTTCACTTCCACCAACTTCACTGACCTTACCTTCTTCTCCCACCTGCCGACGACGTAACCTGCCGACGGCATCATGAGTCCTGTCCCACTCCGGCAGCTTCTCAATGGGAACTTTGATGATACGATGACTCTGGGCCCCATTCTCGAGGAAAAGCACCTCCTGCCGCACACGGTAACCTTTCAATTTTGGAATGATGTAGATCCAGAAGCTGTAATAAATACCACAGGCCACGAGACTAAAATTCCCGATTAGTTTGCACTCAAATGATAGTACAGAGGAGAATCACTTACATTCCGATGCCCGTTGCTGCATAGGTGGCATACCAGAAACTGACATCTCCAGCATATGCGCCGCCATCCGGAGGATACCACGGCATAACCAGAAGAAATAGATCGAGGAGAATTCGGAAAATGACAATTGGGTCCCAAGCTCTAAACTCTGGGCGCGGTAGGTTAAGGCGGGCCCGACGCCAACGAACGATGTAAAGGCCAATGGACATGGTCAAGCCAAAGAAGGCGGAGGGGTAGACTTGTAAGTCGACAACTTTTCGCGGTTAGTATGCGTGAACAAGCATCATAAAAGTGTGGAGAATGACTTACTGAAGTTGAAAGCATCTCCCGCAGGTGGAGCCAAAATCATAAGAAGAGTCAGAATCCACTTGACAAAGTACGGCCCTAAGGGAGTGCCAAATGGCCGGGTAGACGCCCAAAAGCGTGGATACGGAAGCACTCCCTGTCTGCCGCACTCGCGAATCAACCTTGACGTGCCCAGGAGCACGGCTATGAGGTTGCCGAATGAGCTCAAAGCGATCAGGAAATTGAGACCTCGGACTCCCTTGCCGGGGCCGAAGACGCTGGTGAAGAAGAGACTGGCCGCAACCTGGGTGGAGGCCTCGAGGTCGGCTTTGGGAACTGGAAGGAATTATTAGCAATGTCACTCATGTTACATCTGGGTCATGACAAGCCTACCAGCAGCAAAGTAGGCAATGTTAGCCAGAATGTACAAAATCGTCACAATAATCAACGCAATGAAAGCATTTCGGCGGAGTTGCTTGATCGGATTCTTCGAGAAACATGGCATTAGCACCTTATTCAGTAGTTACTGTAGCAGCGTCTTATATACCTTGACCTCATTGACGAGATTGAACGCATTCTCGTAGCCTGCATAAGCAAAGATGACCTTGTACAGAGAGTTGTTGATACCGTAAGGCGATGCATGACCTTGGAATGCATCTCGAAAGTTTTCATGGGGATCAGACACGCGCGTGTTGCCTCCGAGGACGACGAAGCCTGTTATCGCGATGAACACAAGTGTCACCACCTTCACGATGCCTATGCCATTAGACAGCCAGAAGGAGACCCGTGTGTGGAAAGCGACAACTATGATCGAAAGTTCATTAGTCACTGGGTCTCATCTCACGAGACCATCCTGCTAAGACGACTTACACAGAACAGCGACCGTGTAGCCCGCTACTGCCACGCCCTTGAGCTGCCAAGCAGTCGGCGTGTGACCATTAATGCGGAAGAGGTATTGCGCAAGCACTAGTTAGTCAACAGCATCAGTCCCCACACGCTATATAACGACGTCCACTTCTAGAAAGCCTACCGATTGCATTACTGCTGCTAAACGACAACAGCACCGACTGGACCGCAAACGTTGTCGGGAAGAGGAACTTCGGCCGCGGGTACGCCTGCTCGAGATACACGACCTCCGAGCCTGACCGGTTCGGAAAATACGACGCGTACTCGAGATACACGGACAAACTCGATATAGACGTCAGGAAGCCCAATGCCCAAAAGATCATGCTCAAGCCGACGGAACCCGTGCCGCGAAGGATGCTCGACGCTGTTCGTGCGGGTCTGGATTAGCCCGGACCTGACCACACTGCCTGTCCAGGAAATGCAAGGCTAGGTATTTCTTACGTGTGGAATAGATGCCCGTGCCAATCATCTTGCTGATGTTCAGGAAGATGATGGTGACGGCACCGACCTGATAGCCCAGCGGCGAATCGATCTCAACCGGAGCACCGGTGGCCTCCTGGTACGACGGCGCGATGAGTCATTGCCGCCCTGCTCAAAGACATATTTAAGACTGCCGTCCGACACCTCGCTGGCGGCATCGCTGGTTGCAGGCACATCGTTTGCCTCGGCGTTCTTGCGGAAGCTGAAGGGGAGTCTGAACGACATCGTCGCGACACTTTGATGATGGCCGTCAATTCAAAGATGTCGCCGACTCTCGAGAAGATATTCGCCTGAGCTCCTAGGCCTACTGAAACATGTGAAGTCGCAAGTATGACACCATACAGGTGGCTATATACAGGCACTTATACAATCCGGCAACCCCGCGGATGATCCCCAAGCCTCGGATTCAGAGCTCAAGAGCAGCAGCAACACGGAGCCCTGGCGAGCACGGCACAACGTGGTACGATGGTGACGACGGTGCCACAGAACTGCGACCTTCCTAACAGAGCTCTCAGCTGAACAGCTCGGTCAGAGCGAGGCGCTGGCTCGCCGCTGCATGTGGTTCGCCCACGCACGGTATCTCATCGGGACCCCTAAAGGCGCCATCCATGGACGTCTGCAACTCTACTGTGCTTTACGTGATGGGCGTTTTGTGGCTCTACCGGCCACTGCAGTGGGAGCTGCCCCACTGCCTATCACCGCCCAGATACCAAGCTACTTGGCTGACCAAACGACTGCCGAGTCTGGCAGGCCCCGGGGAGATTGTCTGGACGGTTGGGCCGGGGGACGGGATCGACGTGGGTGGGGGTTGCGACGTATCATGTTGGCTCAGGGGGCCGATACTAACATTGTTGCTCACTTCAGAAGCGGGTCGCTGTTAGTGACTCTAAGTGATGCTAACATGTCCAGGGTGATACCTCTCTTCGCCATCTTGCTTCAAAAAGATGCAATGTCACAACATCAGGGTTACATTGCTCTTCGTTTCCGGAGGAGTTGCGGCGATCGCATCGGCTGGATTGAATCGAATGAAGAAACGCACAACTACACTGGTGGGAAGCCTCATGTTGCATGATCCAAGCTGCATTCTTGGGTAGACTATTGTTTCCTGTGAGATTCATCAGCTGAGCGTAACCCCCATGCTATTGTCGCTATAATCAGCCGATGAATCACTGGCACCGAACGAGTAGGAGCCTACAAGTCCGAAAATGTTTCGTAGCGAGCTAGGAGTTTGTCGCGATTTTTAAGTAATATTTACAGTCATCGGGCGAATATAGCGCATCGATTGAGGGAATATAGCACGAAGGGAACAGGTTGGAAGAGAATGTCAATATTCAATTGCCACTATCTTGCTCAAAAAGACTACTGAACTCATCAAGTCCTCCTATGCTTAGGATGTGATTCCCCGAGCATAGCTACCACTGCTGATAGCGAAACTCGATCCGAAAGCTTTGAGTCTTTTAAGATTTGCCTTCCAAAAATGCTTTTCTGTTTTATGTCCTGCCACAACTTAACCCCAGAAAAGGCCGGACTAGACAACGCCACTGCTCGAGAGGAGCAATGATGAGTCGCAAAGTCGGCGGTTCCAAGATCATTCTGGCAGGGGCTCATACTGGTTGTTGAGACTTCTGTACGCCGAGCCAAGTGTACAGATGACCTCTTGAAATCCATCGATGTCAGAATGAAGCGAAGTCATCCGCGGGAGATGTTGATCCAAGTGTCTTTAGCGTCCGAATCGCAACATCGAATTGGCAGTACAATCGGATGCGTTGCAAATATCAGATGATCGTCCCCATCATGTGTCGTTCTAAACGAAAGGCGGATGCTTAAAGCAGCGGCCATTCGATCATCGTAGCGCCACATCTTCCATGACGACCTCACTTCGTGAGACCACACGTCTACGAAGAAGTCATCAATCATTTCCTCGTCGGCTCTGCCACAGTCCATGCACTGCCGAGATTTTGAGGCCATGAGCCATAATTGTCCGTTTTCGCCGTCATCCGTGCGTATTTCACATCTGAAAATTTGATGCAAAACATCACACCCTCTTTCCGCCGCATCCATACGTTCGTCAACCCTGCCTCGCGGGAACAAGGGAATCTGAACGCCAACTGTGGAAAGGACCACCTTTCCGTTACAAAACTCCAAACACCAAAATGCCATTACCACGTATCATGAACGCCAAGCAACTCCTGGTATACCATCCCACAACTCAGGAGACTGAAGCAAGCGAGATTTTTGACGAGAGTTCCGAGACCGTGGTCCATCTTTCTAGACCTCTTTTCCTCGGCTTCTCTGAATAAGCGTAGAGTGCTAATTCTAAGAAGCGCGACCACGGCAGAGAAGGCTCGGCTATGCAGACCGGAAAGGAAAGAACAAATCATGCGGGCCCTAGAGAATCCCGTTTCCAGGTTTTAGGAATGCGCCGTGGAGATCCCGATGACAAGTTGTAGTCGACCATTCGACCAGAAACTGTGCCAAGGGACGCTCCATATCTAGCATTGTCGGACCCTGGAGAAAGTCACTCTATCGTTGAAGATGTCGTGACCGAGAAGGGAGCGGTAGACGTATAATACAGTCATTCGGGAGAGAGAAAGAGTCGAGGTCCGTGAGAAGATGTTGCCAGTTTGGCTTGTGACCTCGGTAGGAGAAACCGTGATCCATGATTGGGCGAATGATGTGTCGTCGTAGTCAAGTTTTATCAGGTCAACGTGTCGTCTAGCCGCAAAGTTGGCTGAAGGATGGTGCGAGAAGGTGAATATGTACAATCAACAGGTAAAGCAACACAAATAATACTCAAACGCCAGTCGCCACCGCCATGCCCAGGGTCCCCTCGTAAAAGGTCTTGTTAACGGCTTATACCTGCGGCGCAGGCTGGCCTTGACCACGACCGCCACGCTGGCCGTTGTAGTTCTGACGTTGGCCTTGGTAGCCGCCACCACGACCTCGACCTTGACCACCACGTGAGCCGCCTTGTCCACGGCCGCCTTGGTACTGTCGTTGACCGTTCTGGCGGCCATTCTGGCCTTGCCAGTCATTTGGTGGTTGCCGAGGCTGAGATGAAGATGCTTGCCCTTGTGGAAGCCCGGGGAGCTGTGCGGCAGGGGAGGCATTAGCGCCCCGGTTCAGGTTCGATATCGGACGGGGGATCGTCTCCGGGTTCTCGTAGACATAGAGACTCTTGTCAATGGTCTGAGGGATAGGCTGGATTTCAGTGCCGAGGTCTCGTTCAATGTTGTAAAGGTTGAAACGATCATCCCAGTTGATCAGGTTAATAGCCAGACCGAGATGACCGTACCGACCAGATCGACCAATACGATGCAGGTATGTCTCGGCGTTCTTGGGGAAATCAAAGTTGATGACAACGTTGACAGCCTGAATGTCAATACCACGAGTCAGAAGATCGGAGCAGACAAGGTTTCTGCAGACACCGTTTCGGAAGTCGTGGAACACACGGTTACGTGCTTGTTGGGCCATCTTTGCGTGGCTGTAGAAACATGAGTAGCCAAGCTCGGTGATCTTCTTTGCAAGGAGCTCGACACGGTTTGTCGAATTGCAGAAGATGATGGACTGGTTGATCTGGAGCTTGGAGAACAATGTATTCAAGCAGTGAACCTTCTGCTTCTCCTCGACAAAGGCGTAGTATTGGGTGATTCCCCGGAGAGTTAGTTCGTCCATTAGGTTGATCTCGTACGGACTGACCATATTCTTATCAGAAAAGTCCTTGACCGAGAGGGGGAAAGTGGCGGAAAAGAGCATGACTTGGCGATCCTTGGGGTGGAACTTCAGGAGTTGCTCGATGACAGGGGTGAATTCGATGGAGAGAAGCTTGTCAGCCTCATCCATGATGAACATGGGACATTCGCTCAGGTCGGCTACATTCTTTCCAGCCAGATCCAAGATACGACCAGGAGTGCCAACAACGATATGAACAGGGTCTTGAAGACGCACAATGTCGTCCCGCAGGCCAGTGCCACCGGTTGTGACCATGACGTTTATTCCAAGGTGCTTGCCCAAGGTCTTGCAGACCTGGGATGTTTGCATTGCGAGCTCTCGGGTAGGCACGAGGATAAGACATTGTATCTTTGAGACTTTAGGGTTGATTTTCTCGAGGGCGGGGATGACAAAGGCGGCTGTCTTGCCGGTGCCGTTCTTGGCTCGTGCGAGAATGTCTCGGCCGGTAAGCGCGACGGGGATGCTTTCTTCCTGAATTGGTGATGGCTTCTCGAAACCGGCTTCGAAAATGCCCATTAGTAGATCTCTCTTGAGACCAAACTCTTCAAACTCCATGCCCTTTGTATTTGTGACATCCTAGGTGAAAGGGTTAGTCACGCCATATGAAAGCTTCCCCAACACACAACACCGACCTCGGTTTGTTGTCTGCTATCCTTTGCTGGGATGTTCAGCGTCTTCTTCCACTCATCTGAGCCACCGCCACTGGGAAATTGTCAGCAACGTAAGAAAGGAAGCTCAAGGCCGCCGTCGACGCACCTCAGGCTTGAAGCCTTCAACTGATCTACTAAGCTGTCTGCCATTGCGCAGAAAGAGGTATAGAGTATGTGGAAAGGTTATCGTGTCTTTCGGTAATGCAGCCGGTATAGCTCTCGGTGTGCTGTGTCGTTGTGGGATTGTTTATGGATGGATAGCTGGCACGCTAGGTAGCGTGCATCAAGGACCGAAATTTTCTTCGGTCCGGGAGTTTGGATGAGAGGGGCTTTCTGAAGGACGCCTAATTCGCGTCTGAGAATCGAGAGAGGATTAAGATCGATGATCGCACACCTGGAGTCGACCAACAGAGGAGGATGGGGGTGGTGAGGCCTGCGAGGAGAGGGGCAGGGACCGAGGAGGAAGGAATTGCTTGATCTTTAGATTGAAAAACGGGGGCGACAGGGCGCTCAGCCGGTGAGGGTTTTGAGGTCGAAAATTGAGCTCAGATTACTGCGGTTGGCTTTTGTTTGTCCGTTCAGGCGCGTTTAATGCCTCGAGCACGTCGTGAGGGAGCTTCTGGTAGCTTTTGACTGCGGGTGATGGAAGCGGTCGTTGTGTGGTGATGGTGGATGGGAAGGTTGTGTTCAAAGTGTGGGCTCAGTTTCGCTTGGTGGAGATGGAGCCTGCCCAGGTGTCGCCTGCCTTCAGCTGTCGAACCAGGCAAAGTGGCACGTCATGTGACTGAATTAGCCGAGGAAGGCGACCAATGAAGCAGACCAAAAACCCCGCGCTTGCCAGGGTTAGCTACACCTACTTTCAATTGGTTCAGCCATTGGCTTTACACCGAGCTCAAGGTGAGGCTCACCGAAACCCACCTTATCGATAATGACGCACACCATGGCCAATCGGAAGCTCCCGGGCGGGCAGGTTGTTCCATCCATCGTGAGATCGGCCAGGCGGCCGGAGGAGAGACGAGAGCTCATCTTCCATCAAACGTCTCAACTCTTCGCCTGTCACGATGCTCCAGCTCATGACGGGCATGAGTCGCCTACTATATGCTTCAATATGCTCCTAAAGAAATCAACAATCGCCCTCTGCTCCTGCAGCAATGCCCACTCCGCCTGGACTCTCCCCGCATCTATAACGTCACCATGTAGCACCCACTCACCTTTGCCCTCACGACGAAGCTGCTCGTCGACCTCAATATGTCAAGTCTCTAATTGTAAACGGCCGATCTTACAATGGCCTCGTCCCAGAAGATACGCCACCGTGTCTCATCCGGAGCATCATCACCAGCCCGGACATAAGAGACACAGCACCCCCGAACAGTCACACGACCACACAAATTGGCCGACAGCTCAGAACCCGACACCTTACGAGATCTTCAACCAGAAGAAGAGCGCACCATACAGCAAGACCAAGTTCTATGAGCTGGTCAAGCTATACCATCCCGACAGACATCACCACACCGCCCACCACGGCATCGCCCGCGCCATGAAGCTCGAACGCTACCGCCTCATCATCGCCGCGAACGACATCCTCTGCGACCCCGTGAAGCGACGAGCCTATGATCTATACGGCGCCGGCTGGGGCGACAAGTCAGACATGCAAAATGACTACCGGGCTGCTGAACGCTCGTGGCGGCAACAGCCAGGAAGCGCGGCCAACAACGCTACGTGGGAGGACTGGGAGCAGTGGTATCAACAGCGCGACGGGAAGAAGCAGGAGCCGTTGTACATGTCTAACGGCGGTTTCGTGATAGTGATTGTCATGTTCGTGCTTATTGGCGGCTGGGGACAGGCGACCCGGGCTGGCGCTCACTCCTTGTACATTGTCGAGATGGAGGACAAGAAGCAAAATCACATTACCGCGGAGATGAAGAAGCGGCAAAACGAGAGCGCCATGCTCACGAGAGAAGGCAGGGTGGAGAGTTTCCTGAGGCAAAGGGAAGGATGGGGCTACGAGACGGCCAGTGTAGGGCATACGCCTCGAGAGCCGCAAGAGCCGCCAAATAAGTAAACTTAGCTGAGTATTGAATATATAATGAAGCATTACGAGCAAGCTTGGGAGTCTATGTGTTGTGCAGAAGAAAGTCATGTCCGCGCCACCATCAACAAGACCCAGCCCACTGAAATAGGGGAAGGACGTAGCTCACGAGGCGGATCCAGAGAATATCTGGGCAGGATCAAGAGAGATCACGTTCAATCTCCGGATGGAATGAGAGCCAAACAACATAGAGATATGTGCTGAGTGACCCAATTGATATCCGGTGGCATTTTGTAGGAGAAAATAGCAGAAGTCAACAGGCCTTGCTGTCTCGCACGAACCTGTATAGACGTCGCCTCAGAGGTCTAGGAGCAATGCTGTTGCCAATTTCGACAGAAAAAGAAGGTCATTTTGCCCTTTAAACCCAGATATATTGAAAACTTAGCCCGGCTGACAAGATTCGAATAATGAAAAGTCCTGTTTGCGTCGGTATGGTAATGGATTGAAGGACAGACAAATTGACAGGTGTGCCACTCCCCCGAGAAATTTGTCTCGACCAGGAAGCCCCACAACAGACCACCCCGTATCATTCCTGCCAATTCCGTACTACCATCCAAACCCAGCAACCCACGTAGATAAAGGAGTGTTCATGTCAAAACAATGTTTAGTGCTGACAACTCATCGGCGTTGAACATGCAACTCTTTCTCTGCCCCCTTTTCTTCTTTTTTTTTTCTACCCATCAATCGACCAAGGAGTTTGACTCTAGGCATTTATTTCACTTACGGCCGACCGCTGTTCAATTTGATATCAATATCCGCTCTACCAGATGAGAACATGCCAGTTGACACTGAGTAGACTGGTAATTATGAGGAAATGTCTCCACGCCGAAAGAAATAGAAGATAGCAATCCTGACAGCCAAGACAGATAGAATGTCGACCAACAGGCTGTGGAGCCACCGGCCATTCAGGTCCAAAAGGGGCGATGTTGACTCTTCGCAGCAATATGCCCTTTTGGAATTGCTTCGGCGCAAAATCCACAACGTCTCTTGCTAAACAGATGGCAGTGATGCTATGCGTTGTCGAATTTTCTATAACTTGACTACAGTCCATGCAAGTGCTAGACTTTTTCTATCATCCAGCAGAGTCTTGTGGTCGACATTGTCCAAGGCGTCATTTTGATTTCTCGAAATGCGAGGTTCATATCAGCCTCGAGAAAAATTCACTTTGCTTTTCTTTTGAACATTTCTTTTTAATCCTGCATATTCGAATGATGAGGTAGAACAGGTTTGCTCTGCAATAACTGTGCTTCCGTTTCATCAATAGGCGTCGACAGCGCCAGAATCTCGTCGGTTTACTTGCTGCTGCTACCTTTTAGATCAAGCCGATTACTCGCCATATCTCACATTCATCTCATATTTTTCTTCAACCACATTCTCGTCGACCCTAGCTTGGACCTTCCTTCCCCTACCCATCTTTTTCCGCGGCTTTATAAAATTTACGAACGATAAATGCTATCGTCTTCGACCTACCTCTAGCTTCTTCCCGAGTTCACTTACCAGGTCATATGACTGACAAAAGCACTAAGGGCAAATGTCACAGTTAACTCATTCATCTTGAAATCATTTGGAACTCCGTCCTTCTGTTTCTCAACATCCACTCACGAACTTCTTATCCCTGAATTCCAACCGATCTCTCCGCGCTTTTTCGCAGCTTGCCTGCATCAGCTTTCTACGATGCCTCGCTCCGAGAAAGCCACAACGTTTCACTACTTTCTGCATCTCCCAATCGAGATTCAGCTCATGATCCTCAAATACTGCGTCAGAAAGCCAGCCTGCCACACCATCAAGGTTGAGAAGGACCACTATAATGGCGAATGGTTCCCAGGCCTTCGATTAGACTCGGGACGTGACTCACCCTATCGCACCTGGAAGAATCTAATCCTAGCATTCCGTTTGGCTCGGGACACCTTGAAACAAGACATGGATACACCGAAAGTCATCAGACTCGGCCCAAATGGAGCGTACAAAGCCGTAGTTGACACGGCTTCGGATCTGGTCATGCTGCAGTTCAAGTTGAAGGACACCTTTCGATGGTCGGAGCACATCCCTGGACCCGGGTGCACCATGCACATTTCGCACACTAGATCTTTGCTGTCCAATATTACACGGCTCTCTCTACGCTATAAGAGCCTGCTGATTGACTGCAAGGGTGACAGTCCATTCAAATGCCGATGCTCTACACCCCACACCATGACATTCAAGTACTGTCCGCAAGAGCTGGCTGGCTTTCTGGATCTCTTCCGCAACCTGGAGAAGTTCTACTTTGTGGTTTCCTGCACCAATCGCGTGACGAAGGAGTGGTTCAAGCGCTATAGAAGTACGTGCATTCCTTATCTTCTCTTACGACCTGTCTAATAATCTTTCCTACAGAAAAGGTCGAGGCCTGTCACTTCAGGGTCGACGCGGTGAATCGAGATGGTGCCCTTGAGGTTGAGCAGTACCACGACTTCAAGTGGGATTACATGCGCATCTTGCCGAATCCAACTCGAAATTCGTTGATGCGTTTAGGGAGCACTGCCGGCGATATCTGGAGCGACGTGGAGGCTTGTCTGTCTAAGACACGAGGCATCTACAAGAGCCTCCAGGGAGATGAGATCTTCATCACTCCCCTGCCGATCCGACGTGCGGTGCACTTCGGCCTTCTTATGGAGTGGAATCGATGGAGCGAGGATATCCTTTGAGCCATGAACGGCCAAACGGGGTAGAGCACGGATATGTAGGGACATGTTCAAATTAGCCAGGGATTGATATCGCGACTCGGGGGCCGCACGCAGCATCGGAAAGCGGCAAAGCCGGCCCGGACGGAGACAGACGGAGCAGCACCACACAGGCATTTCATGAGTGAGACAGACGTAATCGACATCCCAAATAGCGAATAGAAATTGCGTTTTCACTATAAAATGACCTGATTACCATGCATAAGAAAAACCTGTTCTCGAATGTCTTCTGAGGCTTTTTAGTCTCCGGTTTCGTGTCGGGGCGCCGAAGTCGCTGGTCGGCGTCAGCTCGGCAAATCTAGGGAATGATTTGCACCAGCGGCGCGCCTGCCAGCAAAAAGCCGCTGACTCCGGGTTCCGGTATTTTTCTGTGCGCGCCGGAATGAAGCCTCACTCAGCACGCGATACATATACGCCGTAGCGCCCGCTACGATACCGGCCATTTCTTGCCTAGTGGCCCTGATGTCATCTTCACGAAGTGAGAGCATTTGCGAATAAGCCATGGCAAGGCGATTCAATCCGTTTCTGACTGCGAGCTCAGGCCTGCTTGAGGTTTTCGATGACTCATGCACGGCTCTGAAATTGGTGAGTTCAAAGCAATCCAGCATTGTCATTACCTTACTGACGGTAGCGAATCTAGGGGCTTGAAGGCTCATGGGAGTCGTTACTGCGAGCCTGGCTCCATGTTCCAATTGGTATTTTGGTGATTCTTCTCGCTTGTTTCGGTGTCGATGCCCTGTTCAAGCTTGCCGGGGTAGCCTTTCCTGCATCAGTAGCGTGCCTCATCTTGCTATTTGCCGGCCTGCTTCTCTGTGAGTGGCTACTTGGGAGTAACAAGACTCGGCGGCTGGTAGCTCTCATTGACATACCTGTAAGTTTTGACATGAAGCTCTCACTCAAGCGATGAGATGCTAACAAGGCCGATATAGGCTGGATGGTCCTTAAGATGGATCAATGTCTTGTTTACGCCAACCTTTGTGACACTGCCGTTGAGTCCACCAATCGGGATCGTGGAGGTTCTCAAGATGATTGCCGTTTTTGGTACGTGCGTCGTCACACGTTACTTTTCTCTAGTCTAACCACAAGCTACATAGTCATCGGCTTCATTGTGATGATGATCGGCACGGCTTACATGACCCGAGGACTACAACTGCTTGTAGGATCTTCTAAGAGAGCACAGACAGAACGCGCCGAAGAGCTCGGCCCGGAAGATGATGAGATCCCGATCGCCGAGACCCCAAGGAGCGAGCCGGACACTATGCCTTCGACTACGACTACTTCCGCCCAGGCTTCTACCATCGCACTTAACATGCTTGCAATTCCCGAACAATCACGAGAGCCTCCAAGACTTCATCCATTGGACACGCCCGTTGACACTGGAACTCCTGCACGGTCTCCAAGTCCACCGGCTCCATTTCCTCCACAAATCCCGCTCCCGCCTCCTCGCGCAAGGCTATGGGCGGCTTTCGTCAAAGCCAACCTTGACTGGATGACTTATCTTGCCATCATGGTATTCGTAGGCTTTCCAGTGTATTACGGTTCAGACTACGCTATGCCTTTGCACTTGAGTTTCACCATCCTGATGTACTTCACTGCCATGTCTTTGCCCTTGAAATGGCGTCAATATCTCCATCCCGTGATCGTGTCAGCCTTGTTGACCGTCCTCGGCATATGGGTATTGGGTCTGATCAAAGGACAGAACCTCAATTCGATCCTGACAGAATATCACACTGGACTGAAATACATTCAATTGTGGGAAGGTACAAAGAGCAAACAACTTCCCGGAGCAGGCGACTTCTTCAGCACTGTCCTCGACGCAAGCATCGTGTCACTCGCGCTGCCAATGTACCAGTACCGGAGAGAGCTCAGGCAACACTTCGTAGCCATCATCGTCCCGAATATTTTGATTTCTATCGGATCGCTATTTTCGTACCCCTACATATGCTATGCAATTGGCATAAGTGCGGAAAGAAGCCTAGCTTTTGCTTCTCGGAGTCTGACCCTGGCTCTAGCGATACCAGCGACAGCAAACTTGGGAGGAGACTCCAAAACTATTGCTGCCGTGGCAATCATGAGCGGCATTGTCGGCGCGTTGGTAGGACAGAGAATGCTAGGACTCATGAAGATTCCTGAAGGTACGTTTACTTGGCTTGTCTTTCAAACTTTTGGTATTGCATGCTTGCTGACTCCCATGTTAAGATGACTATGTTACAAGAGGAGTCACGCTGGGCGCAAATTCATCAGCGGTCGCAACAGCTGTTCTTCTTCGCACGGATCCGAGAGCGGCAGCTCTTTCAAGCCTATCAATGAGCTTGTTCGGAACGATTACAGTTCTGTTCACATCCATCCCTCCAATTACGAGTATGATACGGTCATTGGTCGGTCTGTAGAAGAAGCCTATGTAAATAAGACGCCAATTTGGGAATATAAACCTCTGATATGCTATCAGTATCAACAAAACGAGTTACCACGATCAGGTCCAGTACAGTAATATGCAGGTTCACCGTCCAGTTTTGATACTGAAAGAATATCCGATTTGGGTTTTCGCGGGGCTTAGAGACAGTGCGTGAGTCAGCCATGGAAGTACAGGTTTTGTGGCTCACTAAACAGTTGCCGATTCTGGCCTCAAGTGGTCATGCAGACTAGCTTCAGTATTGCCTCACCAGAGGTAACATACGGCTATCCGTGGATGTCATTGTGGAGGTCACAAGAGCCTATCAAAACTCATTCAGGCCGTCGACGGATCCGGGCAAGGTTTCTGTTGAGTAGGTTATCGCTGTCCAATTGGGTTTAACTTCGCCTTCGCTTCATCTACCTATAGAACTGCTTGCTCGCTGGCGGATAAATAGGTCTCCGCTCGTCTATCCCCGCTCGCCTTCTTGCCTAACGACACAAGCCAAGAGAGCCTTGCCCGTACCTTCCTGGTCCTCTGGTCCTCTGGTCCGCTGCCAGCCTGACCATAAAAATTTGCAGAAGAGCAAAGCATCATCATTACACCATGGCACTTGCACCGGTTAACAGTACTCCATCCCACGGTCCTGGGCTGAGGCTCCTATCCCTGGATGGCGGTGGGGTCCGTGGCCTGTCATCACTACTGATATTGCAAAAGCTGATGGAGAATATTGACCACAAACATCCGCCTAAGCCCTGTGACTATTTTGACATGATCGGTGGGACATCTACAGGCGGCTTGATAGCAATCATGTTGGGCAGATTGAGGATGACTGTCCAGGAGTGTATCGATGAGTATTTGGAGCTGTGCCCAAAAATATTCACCAAAACCAAAAAGCGACTTAGCATGCAAGGCACAATTCAAGGGAAGTTCGATCACATTGCTTTGGAAGTCGGTGTGCGCAGCATCCTAAGAAAACGCGGCATTGATGAGAACGCTCTCTTGAAAGATGACAGCGCAGAGTCGGATAATAATTGCAAAACGTAAGCAGCCTCATTCTCTGCAACACAACCCGTCCGCTAACCCTCGGATCTGAGAGCAGATTTGTGTGTGTAACAAATAGTATGAGCAAAACAGAAGTTTTCGCGAGTTATTACTCCCCTAGGAGGCTTGAAATGAATCGCAATATCGTGAGAATTTGGGAAGCTGCTAGAGCAACATCAGCAGCTTCCGGTTTCTTTGATCCGATGCTTATAGGATCAGAGAAATTTAGGGATGGAGCTACGCCTGCAAATAATCCGATTGAGCAGCTATGGATGGAGGCTATTGACGTTTTCGGCCACGACGCCGGTCCAGAATGGCGACTTGAGAACGAAATCAGTTGTCTTCTCTCGATTGGAACCGGTTCACTTCGTCTCAACCCGTTCAATGATAATATGCTTGAGATTCTAAACACATTAAAACAAATCACGACTGACGCAGACCAGGCCGCCACGAAATTTGCCAGACATCATAGACCTCTCTTTCTATCCAAGCGGGCGTTCCGGTTCAATGTATCGACAGGCTTGGATAGCGTTGGTCTGGAAGAACAACAAAAGGTGGCGGAGATTCAAACGGCAACGCGGCTCTATGTGGAGAGAGATGAGATCGTGATTGATATGGCAGCTTGTGCGAAGGCACTGATTGGAAATCCATGTGTGTAACATAAACTCTCAGCATCTTCAAACCTGTCTTAGAATTAACATTTTGATTAGCCAATAAGAAAGTCCCATCGATCGATACCATATCCGTAGAATCAACAAGGGAACATATATTGGCCAGCTTGACATATCCTGGCATGAACGAGCGGCGGAACAACATAGCAGATGCCCATAAAGATACCTTGGGGTGGGTCTTCAATCAAGCACCGCCATCTTTTAGCACGTGGCTTGAACAGGACGATAAAATATACTGGATACAAGGAAAGGCGGGTTCTGGCAAAAGCACCTTAATGAAGTTTTTAGTCCAAAGCCCTGACACGGACGATTGCATTAGAGCCTGGTCCCCGGTGGCTCGCCTCCTTCACTTCTTCATCTATAGCTCCGGATCACCCATGCAAAAGGGTGTTCAGGGATTGCTTTGCTCTTTACTCTATCAGACATTATCTCCAACTCAAATGTCGGCTGAGGAGCTTGCTCAGCCAAGTCTTCAGCCACTCACGCACCGAGCAGCACACAAAAAGTCGTACAATGAATGGTCTTTTGATGAACTTCAAGAGACCCTACAACTGGTTCTTTCTACTCCAAATTGTAAGCGCTGCATTTTTATTGATGGCCTTGACGAGATCGATCAAAAGGACAGGCGTACACTTATGTTCAGGGTCATTGATACTCTGTCGAAAATCGATGGTGTGAAACTGTGCGTTTCAAGTCGACCAGAGTCCATATTTATGAAAATATTGACTCAATACCCTGGGCTGCGAGTTCAAGATTTTACTCGAGATGATATTCGCAATTATTCCCGGAAGTGCATCGAAGAGAATCTGACACACGGTGTTGCGAACCTCGATGATGGGGAGATAGACAACCTTTTGCTTCATATCACTGAGAAGGCGGATGGCGTATTCTTGTGGGTATGCTTGGCCGTTGACAGCCTGTGTACAGGTCTCGAAAACGATGATGATACCAAGACACTTGAACTCAGATTATCTGAATTACCAAACGATTTAGATCAACTTTATAGTCAGATGTGGGAACGCAGCAATGGGACAAGCAAGGTATACGCAGAAATTTCTGCGCGTTACTTCAGGACCATGTTGTTGCTTGCCGAGAATTCTCTTGACTTTCCTCCGTCCATACTCAATCTGTGGCTGTGTACAGATTCCAAAGCCCAAACAGAAATTTTGAACTTACAAAACTATCCTCATACAGATTTAATTCTGAAGACCTGCGAGGATTTGACAGGTCGTCTGAAGACACGTTGTGCAGGCCTTCTAGAAGTATCCTTTTGGCCAAGGACACAAGATGCAGGAAAAATTACAGTCGAGAACATACTTAAAGTACATGGATATGGACAACATTGTGGTCGTGGCGAATTGACGCCCTGCAGAACAATTGAGGAAGCACTACATCAACATTGCCGGGTGAGATTCATTCATCGTACCGCAAGAGATTACCTGGCGAGCACTGAGGCGGGTTGTCGCATCTTGGATGCTGACTCTGCCACACGCGATGATATTGTCGTGGAAGTTCTTCAGGGGACACTCTCGACATCCTATCTGACAAGATCTGTGGATCTATCGCATTCGATGAAAGCGTTCGATCTTTGCAGTGAAGAATTCCCAATTGAGAAAAGACACAGCCTTTTGGGTATAATCAAAAAAGTATACGCCGACTTTCAACTTGAAACGAAGTTTGAAAAAGACTTCCTAGGCCTCATGGCTATCTGTGGAGAAATTACATATGTTAAAAATGAGCTCGAGCATCGTTATGTCGCTCCTCAATACTTGAGTTATATCCTGGACTGCGCATCGGATTGGCCGGCATTTAGGTCATCATATAAATTTGATTGGGCCCTTTGGACCTACCAAAGATGGAAAGGAGCTGAATTAATTGCTCACCTCCTAGAACGTGGAGCGAATCCCAATGTGAGGCAATACAGCCCGGACATACTTGTACAACGACTGGATCACTTCCCTACACCATTCATTTCATTTTTACGAAGAACCATCGATTTCTTCCCACGGCCAAATGACGGTCGAGTAAGGTCTTTAGAGGCTTATGCTCGAGATGCCTTTCGGATCATCTGCCTGTTTCTGCTGCATGGCGCCGATACTTCGTGTCTTGCGAGCTTCGATTACTCAGCTCAATTGTTTCAAACACATCCGATGGGCCGAATATATGGTTGGCACGTACTTGCCGTGGTAAATATCGCCACGCTCATCGATATGGCGGTTCACAGGCTCAACCAGATATGCTGGAGCTCACGGCTCACCTGTTCTGACCTTTTGCCAGATACAGTTCCTAGATTTAGGGAGGTCGTATCATTTGGCAATTTCGGTCATAAGAGCTCTGGAAGCTTCAAGTATGTAGATGCTACAAATGAGGATTCTAAGCATTTACTACAGATGATCGACAAGAGACACTGGGAATATGGGCTCTGGCTGCGTACTGAACTTAGGCAACTGGCATCCCCTACAGCAATATACGGTCCATGGGCTCCCTGTGACAACCTGGAATCATCATCAGGGCTCATTGAGAGGGAGATTAAAACGTATAGTGTCCGAGATGAGTCACGGGTGGATAGCGACTCGGATGAAAGCTCGGATGAAAGCTCGGATGAAAGCTCGGATGACAGCTCGGATGAAAGCTCGGATGACAGCTCGGTACGTGTCCCAGACGGGGGTCCAAATGCTGCGAAGCTTGAGGAGGAGATTGAGATATACATCAGTGACGGTCTAGAGTCAAGACCTCATATTGATCCGTATGAAACGTTGGCTCGATATGATCTTCTTCCTACGCGGCAGGCTGTGGAAGAATATTGTAGACAAACTGGCAGAAAGCGAAACGAAATGGCAAGTTCCGTAGAAGCGTATATAAAGAACTTTGGTGACGCTATGACAAGTGGAGAAAGCTCGAAAGACTAGATCCTTGTTATGGGAAATTTAATATATTTGGTTGATATTAATAGCTCTAATGCAATGGTGTTCTTACTGTTGTGAAAGACCTCAGGCTCACGGCATTGTTGCAACTCTAGTTGCGTTATAGAGTTCAGAGACGGTGCGTTACTATGAATTATTTACTATCAACTGTTCAAGAGTCAAGTCTTAGAAGTCTTTTTCCATTTTCCCGCGGAAAACCTCGTCATTCGTCATACGTCATACCATCTACTTTAGCATCTCACCAACAATGCATTGAGATTTGGTTTCGCACAACACATGGGATACCGGACTCCCAAGCAACAGAACGATAACATCCTCAGCTTAAGACCAGTGGAGACCAGGATCCATACAACCATCCTTAATGGCGAAAAAGCACCTATTCATGGTTAGCAATAGCATTCAAGGTATATGATTTACTCGAACCCCTTTCGAGACTACCCTAAACTGCATAAGACAGCTCGACCCTTTCGTCAGCCGCAAAACTCTCAGACCAAATCCCCAGGATTTGCAACCACACCCAGTTGAGCACAGATAAGCCCTCCGTCCAGCCCGACCTTCGAGAATCCTATATTTCTTTCCGAGTAGACTCTGTCGGGGAGATTTGATAGAGTCCCTGACACACATAACCTAGGACTCTCCCAGCTTCAATCCCCGAGGTGTCTGGTCTCTTTATATGCACTCGATATACGCTACTTTACTGGTAAGACTATGTGACGGACCGTAGAGCGC